TTAGTTTTGGCTTTAGACTCAAGCTTTTGCAGCACTGGTGCCTGTGCCGGACCCTTTGCCTCTCCCTCCTCCCACCCTCCTCTTCAAATTCGCCTATGTGCACTGGACACGCAAGATCTGACGGCAGTAACTTGACCATTACCAAATATTTCTAAAGAATATTTTCGAATCTTTAATCACAAAATGAAAGAGGGCGTTTTTAGACCATGAACAGTAGGTGTTTGTAGCATGGGCAGATTATCAATCCCAGTTTTACCTTCAAATCCCGTCTGAGTGTGCCTCCGTTAATTGATATTAGGATTCCGACAGCAGCTGCATCTTATTCACCCCTTTCTTTTAGCCAATTTGGCCTCAATAATTCATTCATTTCACACTAAGACGAGTTCACAACGAAGCGTGTGCATGCAGACTGATTCCCCTAAGCCCACCAGAATTACACATTTTCGATTATCCAGCATCCCCCCACACATTCCGTACAGACACACTCAGCCAGAACCCTATGTCTTCCATGCAATTTTGCACTGTAGTGACAAATGGCATTTCAAAGAAATGCTTTTGTTAGGAACAGAAACGTGTAAACGCCTCAGTAATGAGTGAAAACGTGCAAGAGTTTCAACTGTGAGGGAAAAAATTGGAAATTTTAAATCGGAATGAAAAAGCTGTAGTGAGATGAAAGCAAAAAAAAAGCAATGCAAAGCAACGTACAGCACGAACGTTGACAAAATTAACCAACACTTTGAGGGGTACTGTAAATTTCGATGCACCGCGCCCAGTACGTGTACAGTGGCTGCACCGTGGAATTAATACCAATTGCAAATGCAAAAAGTAGCACAACAGGCTCCACATTCACCCTATAACACCGCCGAATTTTAGTGCCACAACATGGCAAAATGATTAATTCAGCGGCAAGATGATGGATGGCTGGTGAAACTAACACACGTGAAGAAGCAGATGGCAATGCTACTGCATCTTTGTCGAAATTTTTCAATCGCACAAGTAAATAATGGTGGACCAGTGGTTTTAAGAAATAGCCAGCAGTTTCTGGTAAAGCTCAAAAATTTAAAATTTACCACATATGGGGGCAAG